GCTGAGGATCACATGGTCCACTAGTCCCTTGGACTAATTGTTTCTGTGTGTCTTTGGTTTTCTTCATTCTTCTTTGAGTAGCTGGATGCTTTAACTGCTGCGTGACTAGAGCTCCTTCCATAAAGACAAGCCCTGGAAATGCTGTGGGGTGTCCTGCTCTGTCCTGTAGGACTGATTGGAATTGACCAGACAGCAGTGGGTTTGGCACCCATAGTCTGGCCTTGTCGGGAACTAGGCGTTGGTGTGGTTATGCTTATGAAGCCATGCCAAGAGAGGGTGGCTCCTGAGCCTGGTCCCTTCTGAGTTATAGACAGAGCAGAATAGATGCAGAGACGGGTGTCAGTGGGGGTGCGACAGTACAAAGATAGACAGTGGGGACAGATGCGTCCCCAGGGTCAGGGAGCCAAGCACAGCTGATAGCTGGGAGAAGCTGAAACAGACCCAGAACAAGTTCTCGGAGCTGAGTCTTGAACTTGGACTTCAGCCTCCTGAGCTGTGAGAAAATACATGTCTGTTCTTTAAAGCCACCCACTTAGGATATGTCTGTCACGGCAGTACCGGGTCACTAAGAGCAAGAACGAGCAGACCCGCTTCCGTGGAGTCGGCCTGATTCACAGCAGGCCCCGCACGTGCCAGAGTAGAGCGGGTCCGTCGGGTTTTCTAGGGCTATCTGTACGGAAATGAATCACCAGGGCTTTCTTCTGCGGCACCGCTGCCAGCCTGCCAGTGAGTGGCCGAGCACAAACCCTTTGGGACCCTGCTAATGAGTTTATACAACCAGAGAGCAAGCATTCCCATTTTCCCTTCTCTCCCACAGCGATTCATGGGAAGAACCTGGTGGCCATCCTCCACCTCCTCGTCTCTCTGGCCATGCACTTCCGGGCCCCGATCCGCCTTCCGGAACACGTCTCCGTGCAGGTGGTGGTCTTGAGGGTGAGTACGGCGCGCTGGCCTGCGCGGGGTCGGCGCGCCCCTGACTCCACGGCTGGGGCGGGGGCGGTGAGTCCTGCCTCCTCCCGCCTCTCTGCGCTCATTTACCTATTTTCCCAGAGGCTGGCTTCCTTTGTTCCCCCTCTTGATGAGGTGCACAGCTCCCCCGGCTTTGAGACCGGTGACTGGAGCCGGAACAATGGCACTGATTTGAAGAAAGGCAGATCCGGAGGCAGGGGAGGCTAGAGGTTTCATTTTCCACATTTTTGAAAAGAACGTTCGTCTCGCTCCAAAGCCACCGCCTTGGAATTCAATACTGTTGAATGTGCTTATTACTCACCGAGGAGGGGGACTGGCGGGAGGAAACAGCCGCTGGAATCAGGGCCTCTCTGCGTCTCTCGTTGCAGCCAGCATTCTCCATCTCTTTGCTGGGTTCCTTCCTTCTGAGTCAGTGGGAGAAATGACCCGGGTTCCTGGGTCGGCTGGCAGGGGCTGCTGCCTTTGGCCATTTCCCTCCTGTTGAGGTGGAGAGACAGCCCTGGGTTTGTGTTCTTGTTGCAGTCCAGTGTGTTCCAGGAGCCTTGGTGATGCAATGCTTAAGCGCTAGACTGCTAGTGGAAAGGTTGGCGGTTCGAACCCACCCAGTGGCTCCATGGGAGAGAGACCTGGAGATCTGCTCCCAGGAAGGTGATAGCCTAGCAAACCCCGTGGGGCAGTTCCACACAGTTTATAGGCTTGCTGGCAGTCAGAGTGGCTCAACGGCGCTAACAGAAACAGCAAAGTGTGTGTTAAGCACCTGCCATGAAGACTGCGGGGAGCAGTTCTGCTCCGTACACGTGAAGTCGCCGGGAATCAGAGTCCACTGAGAGGCAGCTGGTTTGGTTTGTGTGGACTGAGCACTCTGCCTATGACCGTCAGGGCCAGTGGTGGGCCAGTGGTTGAAACCCCAGCTCCCGTGTGGGAGAACCAGGTTCGATTCCCGGCTGGTGCGTCTCCAGTGCAACGCCCCCCCCACACCATCTGTCAGTGGCAAGTTGGGTGTGGCTGTAACGCTGAACAGATTTCAGTAGAGTTCCCAGACTAAAACGGGGAAGAAAGGCCTGGCACTGTACTGAAAACGAGCCGATGGAAATCCCATGACCACAGCACTCCGCTGCGCGACTGACCGTGGGGGCGGTGCAGGACCGGACGGCGTGGTGTTCCTGGCGCGTGATGTCGCGGTGAGCTGGGGGCCGCTTGACGGCCGCTGACAGCAGCAACGACAGCTAGCGTCCTGCACATGGCTACTGGGGACACTGCAGTGGGGAAGACACACTTGAATCCCCAGGGAGCCACCTCCGTCTGCCACGTGCTGAGGTTGCACTTCCAAACCTGGAGGTCCCGGCGTTTGTGTTACTCAAGCCATCTGACTCCTCAGTGTCTGGTTTTTAACTTGACCAATCCTGTGGTCTCTGTGATCTCTCTCTGTGGCCCACGTGGGTCTGGATGACCCTGGTGGGCCCCTTGGTCTCGACCTGATGGACGTGTCCTTTGCTGGCTGCTGGCATGGGGTCCTTGCCTCTTCATCCATTTCCTTCCAAGGAGGAATGCTTGTGGTCAATGGTGGTGACGGGGACCAGGGGACCGACCGCTCTTGCCACCTCTGTCCTTGGATGCCCCCTCTGCAGGCAGCCAGCTGGGAAAGGTTTCCCAAGGACACAAGGAAGTATGCTTCCCAAACCCACACATACGTCAGAAGTGGGGCCCCCGATTACTGCAGGCTCAGTTACAGGGGTATTTCCTTTCAGGCATGCACGCTGGTCCAAGAACATCTTTTAGGTTTTGTGGGAAGTTGTGCGGACTAGGGTGAACACTCATTGGAGCTGGTGGCCTTGACCCGGCTTGCAGAAGGATTCTATGGGGCCACGCCCAACGTGGGCTGCATGGGGAGAGCAGGTCCTGAGACCAGCTTCCCAGACTGCAGACCTGTCCTCTGTGTTACCCTGTGGACTGTAGCTGTCCCTGCACCTCTGGCTTTGCCCGCGTGACCCATTACCTAATCTTAAGTGGGGCAGGGGGAGGAATGTGGCGTTCCAGTCTGGGCGTTCACTTTCTGCCTGCTGGTGTGGTCTCGGGGAGATTGTTGACTTTCTCCAGGTTGTAGTGATTTCGCTATGAAACTGAGATTATCGTACAAACCTTTGAAATGCCCAGCGGTGGGCCCAGCCTCCAGTAGGTGCCTGTCGGATGTTCGAGGTTGGCTAAGTGGATAAAATGTCTTCGGGCTGTTCTCCCTGGGCTCTTCTGAGGATCGGTCAGGATGAGGCCACGAGGAAGCTGAAGGCCGGGACGGAAGCTGCTCTTCACTCCCAAGAAGCAGCAGTGAGAAGTCCCTGGGGCTTAGCTCAAGAATGGGGAGCTCAGTCCCCAGCACCGTCCACAGTGGGCTGCTTCAGCAGAGAGAGGAGTGAGGTCCCCCAGCCCTCATCCCTCAAGGAGCTCCAGGAGAGGCTTATGGTGGACTAGCTCGGGCTGAGGCTTCTCTCCGTCCTGAGCTCCTGTGAGATGTGGTCCTGCAGGTCCCCCTCTGACACCCCCACTCCACCCTTAACACCTGCACCCCTACTCACACCTCCACCCCCACTCACACCTCCACCCCAGTCATACTTCCAGTCTCATTCACACCTCCACCCCCGCTCACACCTCATCCCCACTCACACCTCCACCTTCTCACACCACTCCCACTCACACCTCTACC